GCCCATTTTTTTTCCCCTGCCCTTGGGTAGGAGCTGTTCCTTGCTACTGGGTAGACAGTGTGTATTTACCTCTGTGTTCCCATTCCCCCTCTGCCCACCCCACTGCCAGGGTGCAGGATGAGGTGGGGTGATGGAGGGGAAAGAGGGTTGCCTCTGTAGGTGGGGTGGGCACTTCCTTAACCCTTTTGTAGAGATACTTGTTTTCCGGGGATGATCCCTTATACTAGGGAGGGAATGAGTTTCTTACTGGGGGCCTGAAGACGGGCAGGGATGCTAGGGGACAGGAACAGAGGACCAGAGAGGTGGAGGAAGATTTCTTGGTGAGGCAGCTTCGTGCTCAGCTGGAGCTGGGCTAGGCTAGGTTTCTCTGTGGTCCTTACTCTACTTGGTGTGGAGCCGCCAATCCATCTGAGCTGGGTGGGTAGGAGATGGGGGATGTAGAGGGACATGTCTTCTAAAGCACCATCTGCACATGCCTAAGGCTGCCTGCCCCATTCAGAACAAAATCACCATCAATAACCTTGGACTGGTGCTGTAGGTTAGCCTTGCCTGGGAGGGAAGATCCAAGCCTCACCCTGAGAGATTGCCACTAACTGCCTGTGGACAAGCTGCCACTTCTTTCCAGCAGATGGCTGGCTTCATTTTCTTTTTTTTTTTTTGTACCAGGGATTGTACTCAAGGACACTTAACCACTGAGCCACATCTCCAGCCTTGCCATTGCTGAGGCTGGCTTTGACTTGCGATCCTCCTGCCTCAGCCTCCCAAGTTGCTGGGGTTACAGGTGTGTGCCATCACCCCTGGACCCAACCATTTTTTGTATATTTAGATACAGGGTCTTACTAAGTTTCTTAGGACCTTGCTAAGTCACTGAAGCTGGCCTTCAAACTTGTGATCCTCCTGCCTCAGCCTTCTGAGCCACTAGGATTAGAGGTGTGTACCACACACCTAGCTGGCTTCATTAATTTTGGGGGAAAAAAGCAATTGTCACAGATAGTGCTAGGTGTGCTTTCCCTGGATGGGAGTGCATTTGAGAGGGCTTGGGGAGCAGAAGTATCCTGCAAGATTCACCAACCATCTATAGTCCCGATCCTGGAGGACATTTCAGAAAGTTCTATGGGGGCTGCTGGGTGCTCCAGAGCCAGCCTGCCCCCACTCAGCCAGAGATGGGCAGCAGCCTCAGATTTATTTTCACAGAGCAGATCAAAGGTGGCTTCAGAGTGTGTGGGCTCTGATGGCAGCCTTGTGCTATCTGGCTCTTTGGGGAAGGGATCTTGGTGGAGACGGTGTTGCCTCTTTGGGCACCTGTGCATGTAATTTACACGTTGATATAATCGTCTCACCTTTTGCCTGGATGGCTGCCRCAGACAGGCCTTTGTTTTTATAGAAAAGATAAAGACTAGCTGCCGGGCCCAGGAGTCTTGTCTGATGGGAAATGGGGTGGCCTCTTTGATGCCACCTAGTGTCCAGTGCAACCCATGGTAAGGGAGAATGCTCATGAAARGGGAATTCTGCTTGCTGGTAAATGCTGACTTGGGCCCTCAGCACAGTGAGAGTATGAACAGAGACACATTTCTTGTTTTCCTGGAGATGATGGCCAAGAGGCAGCAATCGAGCTGCCATGAAGAAACACGTGGTAGTGAGTGCTAAGGGCTCTCTTGCTAAGTTCAAGAGGCAGCTGTGGGTGTGACCAGCTCTTGGGTATTGGGCAGGTAGAGGAGAGGTTGGGGTGACTGTGAGTTGAACGCTCAGTTTACAACAGTGGCCTCTGGGCCTCCTGAGCAAACTCTGTTTGAACTTCACCTTAAGGCTGACRGAAGTGTTAAGCAGAAAGTGTGGGTTGAACTCTCCATATGGTTGGATCCCTCCTGTAACAAACTGTGTGGGTTAGAGGTGTCACAGGAGTGGAGGAAGACAAGTGTGGAGAGGGGACACCTGAAAAAGGTGTATCCAGGTGATACAGGTGGGCTGTTGATTGCCACTGGGAAGCAGAGTGGGTCCAAGCTAAAACCCACCTCTGGCCCTTGTTCTTGTTGGCATCTGGCTCTCCTCCCAGGGGATCTGAAGGTTTCTTTTGTTTGTTTTGGGGTACCAGGGATTGAACCCAAGGGCACCAGGCCACTGAGCCACATCCCCAGCCCTATTTTGTATTTTACTTAGAGACAGGGTCTCACTGAGTTGCTTAGTGCCTCGCTTTTGCTGAGGCTGGCTTTGAACTTGAAATCCTCCTGCCTCAGCCTCCTGCACCACTGGGATTAACAGACATGTACCACCACGCCYGGCTGGATCTGAGGGTTTTGATACCAGAGTCCTCTGCAGCCACAGGCACAGCCTGGAAGCAGACTCCTCTGGAAGATGCAGTTATTAGTCAAACCAGTTTGTCAGCAGACAAGGTTGGGGGCAGTCTCTGATTTTTACCCTTGCCCTTGTCCCCACCCCAAGCCAGCTAGCTGAATACCCACTCCCTCTGACCCAGGCTGACCACTTGTGCTACAGTACTTTGTACTTCTCTCTGCGTTTGGGACAATACGTCCAGAAATGACACATTTGACTTAGAAGTAGCTGAAGATGGTATCTAATACAACCCCCTTCAGACCGGCCTGGGAAAGTGGTATTCACAAAGTTATACAGCCAGATAATTAGTGGCTAAAGACATGCTAGGGACATTTTTAAGGCTCTAACTGCACTCTCATGGCACAGAGGTAGGGCATCCCTGTCATTCTTGTCCTACATGTGAAGAAACTGAGCACCCAGGACTCTACATGGTAAGGGGAGGGGCTGAGAATGGAATGGGAGCCTGCTTCTAGGGCTTCTGGCTTGCTGGGGGTGGGGTTGGGGAAGGGTTGATCCTCTGTCACCAGCGGCAGCCTTCCAGCCGCTGCTCCAGCCACTGCAGGCTACAGTGGGAGGTCAGGCCCCTTTGCTTCTCCAGGCTGGCAGGAGCTAACTGCCTCCCCCTCTTGGCTTTGCCCTACCCCCACCCCACCCCCCAGGGCCCAGCTGAGCACTGAGCTTGCAGGAAACTCACTTCCTGAAGCTGGGGCTTCCCCACAGAAGAGAGGTGGAGGGATGAGGGCATGGGGGGCCAGCCTGAGGGATGACTGCTGAGGCCACATTGTGTCCTAGGAACTTAGGGTAGCTGTTCACCTCATGATATGGGTAGCATCTCTTCTAGGTATATGATTCTGGTGGAGGAGGCAGGTCATACAGGGTTAAAGTGTTTGGGGATTGGAGCTGCCACAGTCAGGACCGCAGAAAACAGGGAAGGAAGTATGCGGGTCCCCCATGTCAGGTTGGGTCCCCATGAGGGCTGTGGCTTTTCCAAAATAGCCTAGTATCTGCACAGGGGGTGGGGCCATAGCCTGGAGGGGAGTGTAGTCGGGTGAGTGGGGGTTCTATGAGCCACACACAAAGCCTTGTGCTGAGACACTGCATTCCTGCTGGCTGGGCTTCCTGTTTCCAGATGCATTCCTGCCCCAGAGTCACCACGGAGACTGCTTGGAATCTGGCCCCACATTCTCCAAATTCAGAGCAAGATCTGGCAAAGGCACCCTCCCTTTACCTCCCCACTCTCAAGTTGGAGGAAGGAAGCCACCTGGCCTGTGTGGGGTGTGGCACAGCTGGGGAATTTGATGCCTGCGCCTTCTTGGATTTGCAGRAGGCAGTTCTGCCAGGTCCAGCATCCTCAGTTTCCCTAGTATTTGGAGAAGAGGGATGGGGTTGGGATATCCAGAAGGATTGGGCCAGGAGGGGGCAGTCCAGCAGACCCATGGCTAGCAGGGGAGGGCCTGGCCTGAACATCAAGGTATTGAGAAATGACAAGTAATGGCGATTCAGGGAACTAGCTGTCATTTTGCATGCTGGGGGATTGCCTGTGGACCTCAGTTTCCTTATAAAATCAGAAAATCTGATCGTTTGTGCCTTTCTGATGAAGGCTCCAGCAGAGGATGTTCAGGATGGGTTCCTGGAAAGAGCAACGAGTAGAGGGTCCTCTCCTTCCTTGTTACCAGCCACTTCTTACAGTGGCTTGGGCTCCAGCCCCTCCCCCAGAGGCCCAGGTGCAAGTTTGCACGTCCGCCAGCTCCCTTATCTGCCTCCAGGGGATTTGAGTCCTCCTGACGTTTTTTTTTTTTTTTCCCCCAACCCTGCACCCTCCCCCTGGTGGGGATGTTTCCTTAGAAGACACCTTCCCTCGTCTGGTCATCAGGCTGTCCCACCTCAGCAGCTCCTTTTAGGATGGGGGTTGGGAGTGGAATTCCACGGGCCCGATAGGAGTGGGGTGGGGACAGGGAAGCGGTCATACTTCAGGTCTGCTTGCTGGCTGCTCTTCCCCACACCCTGAAGATGCATCCATCCCCAGCTCCCGGGCACTCAGATGAGAAAGAGGTACAGGGCCGGGTAGGGGGTTCAGATGGAGCCCAGGACACAGCGCTCTGCAGCTGCTGTGAAGGGTTTCCCGGGGCGCCGGAACCATTTCCCCTTCTTGGCGCCAGAACTCTGACAGGCTAAGAGACCTGTCCCCAAGTCGCACAGCTGGGAGCGCCAGGACGCCGGGCCCCGGTCAGCGCTCTTCCGTCTGCCAGCACATGGGGCTCCATTTCCTTTCCGGCTCCTGTCCAGTGCTCCCCCCGCACCCCAGTCTGCGGCCGGAAGACGGAGCCCGCGTGTGGACCGGGGGCGGCGACCCCTGGCTGCGAGCCAGACAGCGTCCTCGGGCGGGGCCGCGCCCCTCGAGGGACAGCGGCTCAGGGCCCTTGCCTTGGCCTCCGCCAGGATTGGGGGCGCGCAGAGGAGACACGGGGTGCTGGCCTGCCGCTTTCCAAAGGGCCAGCACCCCTCACCGCGCCGCGGCCGCCTTCGCACCTGCTCGTCCCGCCCCGCCCCCTGCGGGGAGTGTCCGGCGGCCGCGCCCAGCTGGGTGGGGACGCGCGGGCTGAGCCAACCGACCGCGGTCGGGGAMGCGCGGGGGACGCTCGGGTGGCTGCTCCGGCTGCAGCCCGGGCGCCGCGTCGGGCAGGGAGCGCGCCATGCTGGGCCGGCGGCGCGTCTTCGCGGTGGAGCCGCTCGGCCGGGGTGAGTCGCCCACCCAAGGGTCGCGGGGCCTCCTGCCCTGGTGCCGCCACCCACGCTCCGGTCGGGCCCCCAAGGGCAGCGCCCACCCGGCTGCACCCCACTCGCCACTCACTTTTGAGGAGCCGCAATGATTAGGCTAGGGTCGCCTTGCGCATTGGAGACGCTCGGGCGTCTGGGTCAACCAGCCACCACTTCCATCCCACCCACTTCCTCTGGGTCCATTTCCCTCTTTATTCCGCTCCTGGAGCCTTCTCCCACTCTGCGGAGGATGTCTGACTGCTCGGTCCCCTGCCCCAGCCAGCAGTTCCAAAAAGACCCTCTGTGGCTGCGAACCCCTCTCCAGAGGAGCAGTGCAGAGGTGGACTCCTGGCCCAGAGGGGCCGGGGTTGACGTCCAGCTCCGTCTAGGCAGCCACAGGTTCTGCCCCGTTCCTACAGGGCTCCCAGATCCTAGAGGGCCTGGCCCAGAGGTGACAATAAATGGATGCTAGTTTTCTTTCTTTCTCTTTTCTTTTAAGCGCTTCACAARAAGGTAACTGTTTCTTGCCTAAAAGAACAAAAGTCCCAAATGGTTAGAGCTGCTGTTATATTTATTGCTTTTCCACAAGAACTCCTCAAGAGACTTCATCTTGCATCTGTGCCTGATGCGTCAGGGGCTTCAGAGAGCAGCGTGAACTCTAGGCTTCACTCTTTGTGCCCTTTGCCTTCCCTGAGGCCGGCCACTGACTGTTCTCTCTTGGGAAACAGCCCCAGAACCTGTGGCTCCTACCTTAGGGACTTGGAGGTATTAGGTACCCCCTTTGGGGGCGGGGGAGACAAGGGATAGGCCATCTTAGGAGCTGACCCAGCATGATCTGAAAGGGCTTTGCCTACCACACAGCCCAAAGTATGGGTTCCTGGTTGCTGATAATTATTGTAGAGGGAACCCCATCCCAACATCTCCCAGGCAGAGTGCCTCATGTGTCTCAAAATGGTTAGGCTGTGACTTCCCTTGTCTTCCCTTCACCACTGGCCCAGGACACTCCTCCCCAGGGGAATGCTGTGGGTTGCTAGGAATGCTGGGGGTGTTGAGGGCAGCCTGCCAGACCTGATACTGAGTCTTCTGCAGATGGGGCCGGGAAGGACCTGGCATGCAGCTGTGTAGTGCCTGGAGTCACCAGTACCTACAGACGGATCCCGGATGCAGCTCATGGTTGCCCATCAGATACCCGGAAGGAAGAGGTTGAACTGAGAAATCTCAGAAGGCAAGTGCCACTTCTGAAACTGGCCTCCCGGGACTCAGGTGTAGAGATGGTGGTTGGGGACAGCCCCCTGGCTACCTTATCAGAACTTTCACAGGACTCTCTGAACCTTGAGCCCATGGGGAGCCCTGAGCACCTGGCCCTTGATGCCACAGAGCCCCCTGCCCAGCTGGGCCGGCTGCTGGCCAACCACAAGCTGGAGCAGGTGCTGGAGCGGTCCCGCCAGCTCCCCAGTGTGTCTGGAGAGCATGGTTCCTTGAGCAAGCCGCAGTGTGGAGTGTCCCTTTTTGGAGCAGGAGAGCAAGAGACCACTGAGGCCGAAACTAAGCTAGAGGCAGGCCTGGAAGCAGAGGTGGTGAGTATTGACCTTGGGCTGGGTGAACAGTGGGGTGGAGACAACCCTGTCAAGTGGAACTTGTAGGGACCCCCACCTCCCTCTGGTTTTCCCTGGAGTTATCTCAGGGTGGGGCATTCTAAACGCCCCTAATTGATGGTTGTGTCATTGCTTCTTGTCTCACCCCACCCCCAGCTGTGTGTAGCCACCCCTGCAGAGGAGGTGGGCAGGTTTGGGTACCATGGGAGAAGCCAGTTTGGGTGTTGGTTCCTCTTTGTCCATTTGCTGGCTGAGCCCAGCCTGACTGCCCAGAGTGGGAGGCTCATTAAGTCTGAGAGTCTCCCCTACCTTGCTGTGTCCCACAGGTGCAGGGTGTAGATCCTGGATCTTGGGCCTGTCTCCCGGGGCAGGGTCTTCAATACCTAGAACACCTGTGCCTCGTGCTAGAGCAGATGGCGAGGCTCCAGCAACTCTACCTGCAGCTGCAGACCCAGAGACCCCTTGGGGTGAGTGAGCTGTGGGCAGGGTGGCCAGGCCTTGAGTCTGGGAGACTGAGTAGGGATAGGACCCCCTGGAACCATGACTGCTCTGAAAACAGCTTCGCCTTCTGATTAGGCCCTGACTGCCCATCTCTCCCATCCCAGAGTCTTGAAGAGGAGGAGTCAGCCCTGGTCCCTTTACCTTCACCTTCACCTACCCCAGTTAATGGGGTACAGGGGCCAGGGGAGCTGCTAAGCCGGACAAAGGAGACAGGTGAAGGGGAATTGTGTTTCTCTCTTGTCCTGCCTGCTTCATGTCCCTGCTCATGATCCCACCAGCAGACCCCCTGAACCTTAGATTGTTGGGGTGGCTTCCTGTTTCTGGCCCTGGGTAACCTGATTATATTTCTGAAGGGGCAGACGCAGCTTTATCCCAAAAGGTGGGAGTGCTCAGCATCAACCCTCCCAGGCTGACAGAGGCCCCAGTGGAACCAACTCACAGTTTTCTACTCTCCCAGGAGCACAAGGTAGTGATGGATATAAGTGGGGCAGGTGGTGGGATAGAGTGGGTGAACTGGGAGATGGTGGGAATGGGTAGGCACCCAAAAGACCAGAAACTTTGGGAAAATAACAGGATTCYTATGGAACAGGTGACTTGTCCTGCTCCAAGGAAAAGTTGGGATATATATGTGGGGAGGAGCTCTGTGGTTACCCCTTTCCCCTCTGCTCAACAGGATCTCTCCCACTGGGACAAGGTCAAGGTCCTCCTCAATCGGATCCGCTGGAGGAGCTCCCAACATCCTGAACCCCCTGCCCCTCCTGATGGTTCTGGCCCTAGGTAAGTCCTGTGCCCAATCTGGTTTAGGGGAGAGGGAGGATACTGATGAACCAGGATGTTGAGATTGTCTTTCTAGTTGTAATTTTTGTTCCTATGAAATTTGAGAGACATGGTGTCAAAGGAGTTTCTGGAATAAATAAAAGATAGTTAAAATGGCCCATTTATAGATGAGGAGATTGAAGACTGAGTGGGGTTGAGGGCAGTCATTTTTCCAAAGTTTCAGGGTGAGTCAGTGATAGAACCAGGAGCAGATTATGGAAAATATCCTCACCCAGCCCAGCAAGCCTTCACTCCTTAAAACGGAAGTTTAAGCGAGGGAGGTGGCCTAACTAGGGGGAGAGCAAGATGGAGGCTCCAGCAAAGGACTCACTTTCGGTGAGGTCCTTCATACTTGGGGATTTATCTAATTCTCCAGGGGGAAGAAAGCACCAATTTAACATCTCTGGGTTCCCTACAATAGCTAAATAGTGATCTATTGACATTGGGACCATTGTTTTCTCCTAGCTTGTCTCCTTTTCTTTTCCATAGGATTGAGACCAGGGACCTCTCTGAAAGGCCTCAGTATCACCCCCACCGGAAGACCTTTATGCCATCATTAATGGTTAAGAAGCGAAGAGGAAAAAACCTTTCTGTATAATGAGACCTCTTTGTGCTTGGTGACTCTGGGTGGAGGGGATTTGCTGTGAAGTCTTCCTCACTCTGCATTGCCAGGGAGAGCCGTTGACTTGCCCTTCTCCAAGGCGAGGGCTGAGCCTGTATCTTCTGAGCAGCCTGGCAGAGGAACCCTGGTTCCTTGAGAGGCTCCAAGGTGCAGCAGCTCCAGGGTTCCTTCTCCCTGCCAGAAATCCCTCTGCTTAGACAATGTGAACTAACTTATTTATCAGATGTTCAAGGAGCATATTTGGCACAGTGATATCTGGACCCAGCATGGTGCAGATGTGTTTATGCATACCAATATATACATCTTTGTGGGACTATCAGTATTGTGAACTGGCTGGATTCAACCATCCCTACTGGAATCATATATCCAAAGCCTTCAGAGCGAGATAACTGTGGAAGGATGAAGTTGACCTTCCTTCTGTAGTGGTCAGTTACTGAACTGGATTCCTGCTTTCCTCTTCATACCTGAATTGGCAGCTCTAGAACAGAGAAAGGCATTGTCCTGGCTGCCTCTGTATTGAGTCTTGCCCTTGGGGCACAGCCCCTGAAGACCACATGAGGAATTAGGAGGCTCAGGACAACGTGCAGAACGGCAGAATAACCTTCAAGGTCAATTCTCAGTTGCTCTGCTCCATATTAGCTTTTACCTGTCAGAGCTGAAACCAGAAGTCCATACTAGCTTTTAGACCTTGACAAAGTCTATTAACTTCTGAGCCACAACTTCCCATTTGGGATAATGATGCCTGCCCTGCCTACCTCACAAGCTTGTTAAGAGGATAAAGTGAGATTAAACTGTCTCAAAGAGTACTGTGAATGTTAAGTGAATAAAGGGGAGGGGTATGGGTGCTGAGAGAGGCTGGAGTGGAGGGATAATGGGAGGACAGAGGTTGGGGGGGGGCTGGGGGGGAATGGAATTGTTAATGGGGACTAGAATGGCCATTTTCCTGGCAAGATTTTGAGCAAATAATTTTAATGGTCTGTCAGATTTCATATGTGAAAATTAGGGCAGATTCCTGATCTCTTCACTTCCCAAGGTTATTATGGGAGTGTAGCCAGTGGAAGGGCAGGGATAGGGATGGGGCTTATTGGCTTGAGTAATAAGAATGTATCCTGTAAATGGCCACTGTCCAGGCAGACATCTTCTCCAGTGAAATGGACTGGTTCTCTTGCTACTGCCATTTGGGGGCTGCCAGAGTGAGGCTTGTGTGCGGGTGGTATGTTGGGTCGGGGGAGCCTCCAGCTCCAGCTGCCTTTGGATTAGGAACCAATGCTCTGAAGCCTATTTTTCTAATGGGACATTTTAAACAAGGACACCATGAGGCGCGGCTTCCGAACGCGCATCCGATCCGAGGAGGCGCACTTCCGTTCCACAGTTGCAGCGGGATGGCAGGCGAACGTGGGGGAAGGGAGAGGTCGGTGGAGACGAGGGAGGGACCATATCCGGGAGAGTGGCAGCTTCCGACCAGTGGTCGCTCTTCCGGAGAGGCGCTTCCGGTGGCGGCGGCAGCAGTGGCTGTGGTGGTTCCGGGTGCCTTTGTCCCCCCGGTGTCGCGGCCCTGGCCCGCAGGTGGGTTGGGGGACCACCCACTGCCCCTCTGCCCTTTCGCCTCTTCTCAAGCGGAGGAGTTGCGGGGGCCCAGCGGCGAAGATGCACTGGACGCGGAAGGGGCTGAGTCCCCTCCGGACTGCAAACCCCGTCTCCCTGGCAACAGCCTCGGCCCTGGGGGCGGGCGGGAGGAGGAGAAACCGCGCGCCTTCGTCCTCCCACGGTGGCCTCTCCGCGGTCCGGCCCAGGAGGCCGTGCGCTGTTGGCTGCTGAGGCCAGAGCAAAGGACCACGGAGCCCGGGAGCAGGAAAGCGGCGTTCAGGCCGATTCGCGTTGGGCCGCTGGGAGAGCTCCCTTCACGCCAGCGGGTCGGGGGAACAACGGGCTAGGCTTCCGGGGAGAGGGCCCGCACCACCTCGCGGGCACCGGCCGCCTCCATTTTTCCGGGTCCTGCGTGGAGCGTTTTGGCATGTTTTTGAATGAATGAATGTCATTGGAGCTCTTTCCAGCCTCCTACTCCGTCCGCCTCTTAGGGGGTTGCATGGCATAGTGAGAAGAGTGCTAAGTTGTTGGGAGACCTGGGTGAGAGTCCCGGTTTTGTGGCTTGGACCAAGTCCTCTGATCTCTCTGAGCTCCAGTTTCCTTTTCTGTAAAACAGCATGTCAGTATCACGCAACCACTAGGTTACTGTGAGGGCAGAACGGAATAATGTAATTTCTTATTTCATTTCCTGCTCTTCATGATCTCCAACAATTTTTCCATTCTCAGTACCCATCTCTTCACCTTTCTTAAGGTTCTTCTTTAAGATTTTCCACTTGTCTGGGGAGAGACAGAAATCTTTCATGTGAGCATTTAACTTCTTTTTTTCTGATTGAAGGTTTTTCCCCAAGACTCTGAAAGAGGACAGCATTCCCAATGTCCCAGTTTAAGCGCCAGCGGATCAACCCACTTCCAGGGGGACGCAACTTCTCAGGTGATCACTCTTGTCCCTACCTGACCTCCTAGTAGGATGTGCTCTGCAGTTAGTTTACAAAACTCTGGCCCTTGGGATTTCCCAGGTGTGAAGCAACTAGCTGTTAATGTTTCTTAGGAAATGAGGAGATGACCACAGTGGTTGCCAGTGAAACCCTGAGGAGGAGCTGGTTGGAGCTACTTTGCTCTCCTTTACCCATATCTTCTAGTTGTCTCTAATGCTTAACGTGGTAGGTGCTGTTCCTGGAGGTTGCTTCTCTGTCCCTGTAGGCGCGGCTTCAACATCTCTTTTGGGCCCTCCTCCTGGTTTGCTTACTCCTCCTGTGGCCACAGACCTGTCCCAAAGTGCCAGGCACCTTCAGGTAGGTTGGGCATCCTTTCTAATGAGTTTCAGCCCTTGGGACTACCCCAGCATGGGGATGCCTGATATTCTTTCATTTCTTATATTGTAATGGTCAGCATTTCTGACTCTTGTCTTGGTAGTGGGCCGTATGGGGTGACTAGATACCCCTCAGACTGGGGAGTCAGTTTCTGAGTCCAGGGAAATCTTGGGATTAAAGAGCTGGAAGTCCTAGAAGCAGTTTGTAACCCATCTTTCCTCACCATAGAAAGTTTATGTCTGCTCTATGTTTGCTTCCATATGAATCTCCATGCTGAGCTGGGGTGTGGATAGAGGGGAGACCCTAGTGGCAGAGCATAATTTTATTCAGGTTGCTTCCTATTAATTTTAACCTACCCTCTTCTCTTGCAGAGTGGAGAAAAGCAGCGAGTTTTCACTGGCATTGTTACTAGTTTGCATGACTACTTTGGGGTGGTGGATGAAGAGGTCTTTTTTCAGCTAAGGTAGGCTTGAGGCTAGTCTCCTGCTGAAATTGCTTATGGATTCAGTTATGTCACCATGCTGGTGGGGCCCCTCTCTAAAGCCATTGCTTTGTTGTTTTAAGCCATTGCTTTTGTTTTTAAATAAGAACTCTTGATGGAATGGGCTACATGGGGGCAGGTAGGGTGGCTGGACCAGGTTCTCTCTGTGTTGGCAGTGTGGTAAAAGGCCGGCTGCCTCAACTGGGTGAGAAGGTTCTGGTGAAGGCTGCATACAACCCAGGCCAGGCAGTGCCCTGGAATGCTGTCAAGGTGCAAACGCTCTCCAACCAGGTATTCATCTCTCTTTAGCATTTGCACTGTAAAGGGGAGTGGGAAAGGAAGGGAGGGGTTTGGGGGAAGGGGAAGTGGCAGAGGGGAGGGAGAGAAGCCTCTGTGCCCAGTTACCTGGGCAGAAACCTTACTTTTGTCGAGGGGGTGGGACTGTATCTTTCCAAGGTAGTGAATGCTTCAACTCTGGGATCCCCTCAATTTCTTGGCAACTGTCCTGCAGCCCCTGCTGAAGTCCCCAGCACCTCCTCTTCTGCATGTGGCAGCCCTGGGCCAGAAGCAAGGGATCCTGGGAGCTCAGCCTCAGTTGATCTTCCAGCCTCATCGGATTCCCCCGCTCTTTCCTCAGAAGCGTGAGTATCAGAGACACAAATATTGGGGTATGGCTGTTTGGGGTGCTCTGGATGAATGGACTTGTAACTTTCAGACTGCTGCTCTCAGAATAAAAATGGGTGCTTTGTGCATTGGAAGAAAGGGAGGGGAAAACTAGACAGTTTTTAAGTCACTGGCCATTTTCTATCTTTAGCTCTGAGTCTCTTCCAAACATCCCACACACTTCACCTGAGCCACCTGAACAGATTTCCCGCTCGGGGCCCTCATGGACGACTGGATCAGGGCCGAAGGTAAGAGGACAATCAGGACATATATTTCATTATATTTCTGATAGGAGCAATATCTCCCCCCCCTTTTTTGCCAACTATTGATACTAAATTCTTTCTGCAGCTGGGTCCTAGTCCTTTTTCTCTTAAATAGGCAGATACTAGGAGATTTATATGTACATATAAATTGTGGGACTTTATATACAGAGTTAACAAACCAGGGATTTGATATGTTCTTTTTTCTTTTTTTTTTTTAAGCTTCTAATATTCTTTTTATTTCCTACATTTAATTTTTTTTTTTTTTTGGTTATAGATGGACACAATACCTTTATTTTATTATTTTATTTATTTATTTGTATGTGGTACTAAGGATCAAACCCAGTACCTCACACATGCCATGCAAGTGCTCTACCACTGAGCCACAACTCCAGCCCTCACATATTTTCTGTTGGTGCCTCATAGTGCATATTGATGAGATTTGTTATTATGCATTACAGTGATGGAATTTGTTACATATTTGTACATGCACACAATATAAGTAATTTTTGAAGTGTCACGTTGAAATACTTTTTTCTTTTTTGATAATGGGGATTGAACCCAGGAGTTTCTACCTCTGAGTCCCAGTCCTCTCTGTACCCCCTCTTTCTGAATTTTATTTTGAGACAGAGTCATACAGAATTACCCAAGATAGCCTTGAGCTTGAGATCCTTCTGCCTCAGCCTCCCGAGCAGCTGGGATTACAGCTTATGCCACTGTGCCTGGCTTGAAATAGTTCTTAAATATATAATTTTCCTTTTATTTCTAGTTCCCATAATTGAGATATCAGGGATTGTTTCAAGAAAATAATGACATGTCCAAAAAAGTAACATTGCAGTGTATGTTTTAATTTATACTTTAAAACATATGCTTTTTTTTATGCACGACGCTTAGGTGAGTGTGGTTAAGGACTGTCAGGTTGCATTCTGCATGTGTGTGGACATGCGGACAGACAGTTTTCTTGGTCATGTGGGAATCAAGCATGGTTGATTGGGGTCCTTGGAGCTTCCTAGTGATTGTTATCCGTGAGCTTTAGGGAGTATACCAGCAGTGTGATGTCTCTCCCCTCTTTGGTTCATATGCTCCTAATCTTAATCTCCCTGAGAGTTTTTCTTAACTTTTTTTTTTGATAATTTTTTTTTAGTTGTAGATGGACACAATACCTTCACTTATTTTTATATGGTGCTGCGGATTGAACCCAGTGCCTCACATGTGCCAGGCAAGCGCTCTACCACTGAACTACAACCTCAGGCCTTAATTTTTTAATAACAGAAAATTTCAGTGTATGCAAAGCAAATGAAAAGATATGAATTCTAATATATCTGTTATCCCACTTCAAATATCAGCATCTGCCCTTATCCTTACTTCTCCCTTCATCTAGCTGTTTCCTCCTACTTGATTCGGGTGTTTTTTTTGGGGTGGGGAGGTGGTTACT